TGTATAGTTGGCAGGTGGTATAATGGGATATTTAGTTTCTCCGATTTTCCATTTACAGTATTATCTGTCCGTAATTGGATCTTCTAAATACTGTAAATGGAAAATCGGAGAAACTCTAATCATCAAAGAATTAAAGTAGTAAGATTACCAATGTGGTAAGATTACCAATGTTGATTAATCTAAATGTGCAGAAAAAACAAGATTTCTATCTTCATCAACATGATAACACTGGTAAAATTATTTTTTTTTTAATCGTATTTTTATTAGCTTACTACGATCAAATTCAAACGGTAAACAACAAAAGATTCTCTAGTTATTAATTATATCTCTTAATACACTTTATAATTTTTGTTTTTGTTCCATTTATGTTGTGTGTGAAGATTGTAGAAGACAATAACGTGACGTGGATGACACAATGACTTAAAATGACAAGAATAATCATAGCTTCATACTCGACCATCTAAATATTATAGTGGAAAGTGGAAACACATTCGATCAGTGATTGAACTAAACATAAGAGATGGTTTTAGCTTCGGAGTTCAAACTTTTGGTTTACATAAAATGTTGCAGCAAGGTTTCAAAGTTGCGAACAATATATGGTTTTCGACCTTTACATATGGTGTTATAACTTAGAAATTTCGTAACTGCCATAATGTAAGTTATGTAGACAAAAGAAAATTTTCACTAAATTAGTTTAGCACTTTTCAGCATATACATTGATTCGAGCTCACGAGAGTCCATAGCATTGGATCCGAAAAAAAAGAGAGTCCAAACCATCTTTTATATATATATATATATATATATATATATATATTGCTATATATTGTATGTCTTGTTGCTTGACAGTTTATATGGACTATTAAAAATAGTGACACTAGCTAACATCTATGCAGAACTAAATGAACCATACAAATCTTTATGTACTACATTTTTTGGGCTCTACTACAATTTCGTTTATATTCACAAATATAATTATCAAAGAAACAATAAATGATGAAAAATTATAAAACAATAAAACTAAACGATGGAAATGTGGAAGTGCAGGAACCCTAACATTAGAAAATGAATGTATAATAATAGTTATGCTATATAAAAGAATCATCAAACTAACATACAAAATAGACAGAAAGACAGCTATACATTTGATAACATATTTTTATACATAGACAGTTGGCGCTAAATAGAATTATATATTTAAAAATTAACAAAATTATAAGCTGATGTATCTTTACTTACCTTCTACCATTAATATATTTCCAGTGACATAAAGCGAGAACCGAGAAGAGTTTTTTACCAGTAAGTGATCCAAACGTATAAGAGTGTGATAAAAGGTAAGTAGTAGTAGTACAAAAATAACACTGATGCTTCTTTCAGTAGCTTTGTATAATTGGTAACAAGATAAGTGGTACACTAATTAGTAATTATCGATGCGGTAAATTACCTATAAAGTTTTTATTGAACTAGACAAAAAAAGGAAATAACGCCATATGTAATACAGTAATACACTATAATTAAATCAAACAAGTTAGCCACTAAAAAAGAGTCATATGTATAGAAGCATTTACAAGGTTTTAAAGGAATTTACAGAGATAAGCATTTGAAATGTGATAGACTTCAATTATATTTGTTTAAAGATCATGTCATTTCTTTATAATATACCTCCTCTGTTCAGAATTATTTGATGTTTTAGAATTTTTTTTGTTCAGAATTATTTGATGTTTTTATTTTTCAATGTAAAATTTAATGATTTGTATTGTTTTTGACTTTTTATATTCTGCAGATTGTCTTCTTATTGGCTGAATGATATTTAAGTGAATTATAAATAATATTTTTAATGTAAAATAAGAAAAATTAAATGCATCCTTAATCTATGTGCAAAAACCTTAAACATCAAATAATTCTGAACAAAGGGAATATATTTTAGTTTATAAATATATTAACCGTCTAAATTCACCTAGATTTCGATTATCTGTTTTAGGCTCCAAACAATGTTTTCTAGAACACTATATAAACCGCACGATCTTATAGCAGATTTTTTTTAATATTCGGATGGGAATAAGCCTTAATTTGAACTTAAAATTTATAAAAACACTGACATGATCTCGATCCTAATATAACTGATCTGGATACGTCCCCAACTATTCATCTACCAATACAACATCCCTATTTATTACATTTGATTAGGAAAATAGTATTATAGTGACCCACAATATATGTTATTGTTACCAATTTCATCGTTTTGGGGGGGGGGGGGGGGAAAAGATTTGTAGTTTACTCAGTTAGCTTTATGTATAGATCTCTCTTCTTTTGTATCTCAACCATCATAGAGTTTTCCAATTTCAATAAATTTGTGATTATTTGATTTTTTTTTGGCTAGAAACTAAACAGGGAGTCGAAACCACAAGTATAATGTTTTTTCGGTAATACATAATGTGATCGATATTAGGTAAAATATATTTTTTAAATGATATATATACTAGTATTTTAGTTGATAAATAATAGTATGATAGTTGTTAATACGGTGATCCATGTTATTTATTTTATAAAAACACATACAATAGATTAACTAACTTATTTAATGGTTGGAGTCTTTGTCATAATTCGTTTTGAAAATAAAATTGTAGAACTTTGCCTGAAGAAGTAAGTATTCTTTGTTGTATTTTCAATTCCGACAACCCGAAGTTACACTATGCATTATTATAAACTAAAAAATAAATAATTGATTGAAAAACGCAAGTCTCATTCATCTCCTCCAAATTAATTTTACTTTTTTCTTATCTCTCTAAAAGTCCCAACAGCGACAGCATAAGTTTCTTTCTCTCTCTCTCTCTACAATGGCGTGTCTATATAAAGCAACAAGGTCGTCGCTTCTTAACGACCATCTCCATTACTTCCTCCTCTGCATAACCAACCAAGAAAGGTTAAACCTTTTAAATCCAACACTCGAAAGAAATCTCCCGATTCGGTCTCGTTTCTGAAGATCATGAAACTGATTGAGAAGACGATGAACAAGTTTACGACTATGGAGGAGGAGGAAGAAGATAAAGGCCAAATCTTCAGGACGATCGAAGTAGCTACTACGGTTGACCGGAGCAACGTATCTCCGCCGCCGCCACCTGGAGATTCTGCTGCTTCTGCTAAACCATTGCTAGAAGTTTCCGGCGGCGACGAGCTTAACCTGATTCCACCGTTGAACTTCTCGATGGTCGATAATGGTATTTTCCGGTCTGGATTCCCGGACTCGGCTAACTTCTCTTTCCTCAAGACTCTTGGTCTCCGCTCAATCATGTGAGCTTATTTGCATTTCCATCAATTGATGAGTTTATCTTCCATATCAGAATTGCTGATTCTTTTAGGTCGTTTTTTTTTTTCTGTTTTGGTATGGGAAATGCGTGAAGATCTTTGTGTCCAGAGCCGTATCCTGAGAACAACATGCAGTTCCTCAAATCCAATGGAATTACGCTTTTCCAGTTTGGCATTAAAGGCTACAAGGTCTGTTTCATTTCTTGCACTTAAATTCTGCTACTCTGTTCATAAATGTCCATTTCTAATTTGTTTGATCACTGCCTTGTTTTGTAATTCTTATCTTGTGGCTAGAATTCCCATAACTTTGTCATAGAGGGAATTCCTCAGAATTGAATTATCATATCTTAAATGTGCAGTGTCTCCCAGGATTAGAGAATGAGGTTTGGTTGCATCTTTGGAGTTCTAAGCATCAAAAAGAGGGTTCCTATACAAATGCAAATCCGAAAACTTTGGTATTAATCAATCTGAATACTATTTAATCACAACTTGAAGTGCTTCTTTGTTCCTTTAAGCCATGTCTCACTAGTTTCATAATTACTTAGAAAGTGGTAAGTTGCTTAGGCATGTTATGATTTAGACTAGAAAGATGGCATTTCATGTGTGGATTTTTGTCTTGGACTTGGACCTTTTAAGAGATTATTCTAAATCCATTTTTTTTATAAGACCTCCCAAGAAAAGCGTACACCATTCTTTAATGCTTTTTTTTTTTTTGGGTTGAAGGATGCTTAATTTCTTGGCTCTTTCCGTTACCATTTACTTAATGGTCCCACTGTTTGTTTTCTTGCCCTTCATCAACCAATACCACTTGGTACTTTCACTGTATACATATATAAAAATTAGATAATGGGCTGCGTCAAAGAAATGCTGAGCTGCATAATACAAGTATTGTCAGAGATCCACTACTCGAAAGTTTTACTTTCCTTTGTGTTTCTATTGATTCTGTTTTCTTGGTTCATGTTAGTTGCGCGTGCACTTTGATGCATCATCAATGGTATCTTATGTAATCTTGACCCAAAAAAAAAAAAAATTAGTGTCTCTTGAGGCAGCACAAGTTGTAGTTGAAGTAGACAATATACCTTAACTTTTTGGTTTTGATGATGAAAACTTGGAGAAAGTGACTTGTAGAAAATGTTGTAGTGGTAAAGTTATCCATCCACTTATGAAGCTGGTGGTAGGTATGTATCTAAACAAAGTTGGAAATGTGAAAGTGATAGATGGTTAAGTTCTATGTCAGTTTCTGTTGTTTTATACCTACCTATATGTACCTGATGTTGCTTGTCTCTATGTTTTAGTGGCTCATGTTTGGGTAAAATGACTTTTCGTTTCAAGGAAATGTTGGTAAGAGAGGGAATGAAACAAAAAAGCTCGATCTTGGAGTCGTTAACTAGTTACATTAATCACAAAATGTCTAATCATAACTTTCTTAGATTTCTAGCCATAAGAAACCACCAAACATGTTACTTTGTTGAATATTAAACTTGTGATGGGGCGGCTAGTTTGATTTGATCTAGAATCCTTAATTAAAATGAAAGTAATTATACTTGTCAATATGCTTTTGCGGTAGTGATGGTTCTCTCTTCCACAAACAAACTCACCTTTTTGTCGTCAAATCTGTTTATATGATAGTTTGTCAATTTTGCTTTTGAGACTAAAGATTGGGTAAAGTGGATGTTCTTTTCTTCTTAGAGTGACTTGATTAGAAAGATTATTGGATATTCTACGGTCACATTTTTTGTTTGTTGTGTCTCTCTAGTATGGCTAAGATTCCTTATGTTGGGTGTGACAACTCTCTGGTCTTCATAGGAAATCATTTTGGTTTTCATAATTGGCTGCTTTTGACACAAAATAAACAAAAACAAAAACAAAAAATATAGGCAATAAGATATGAAGATAGAATATACTCCCCAGCTCTTCTACAGTACTATAGGCAATAGCCAAACCAAACCCAAGTTTGTGATCAATTTTGGTCTCCAAGAATGAATATAGCTTACACTTGACATGTATCATTATGATTTTGATATCTTTTCTTTTCTGGCTTGTGTGTGTATAATCATATTCGCACTGGACTAAAGACTTACCAAGGAACTGATAAGTGAAATCTAATTTCCTCATTTTTGCAGGAGCCATTTGTTAATATTCCAGATCATAAAATCCGTGAAGCACTCAAAGTCCTTCTCGGTATAAATCATATATAGGAGAAAATTAAGTAAAACCCATATTTTCTTGTTTATAAATGTCTTCTAATATGTGGTCTTATTGTCTTCTTTGTAATTTCCAGACGAGAAGAACCATCCACTTTTGATTCATTGCAACCGAGGAAAGGTATGTAAAATTTCGAATACGCTAAATCTTCTTAAGAGACGAGCTAGTTTCCATATCTTGTGACTGAAAACAACGGTTATGAATCTTATGATCAATGCAGCACAGGACAGGGTGTCTTGTTGGGTGCATGAGGAAACTCCAGAAATGGTGCTTGACATCGATATTTGACGAGTACCAGCGATTTGCAGCGGCTAAAGCTAGAGTCTCAGATCAAAGGTTCATGGAGTTATTCGATGTCTCGAGCTTCAAGCATATTCCAATGTCTTTCTCTTGCTCCAGTAGATAGAAAGAATTAAGTAGCAAACAACAACAACAAAACACAACGTCCCTTGGGTTTTGATTGATCAATCGATCAGTACTCCCTTGAGAGCCTCTTTATTTTTCTTCTTAGTTAAATAACAAAAGGAAGAAAAGCAATCATGAGTTACCAGTAATCATCATTCTTCTTGTTTTTTTTCCCTCTTTTACTCCTGAATCTAAAGATAACAATAATAATTGGAAGAAGAAGAAAGAATAGATTCCTTTTCTTTTGATTCTTTTTTGTAATGGCTAGTAATGTAAACGTTCTCGAGTCAGTTTAATGTTCTCGAGTCAGTTTAATCATGTACCTAGATAAATAATTATAAATAGAAATGTTCACTAGAATCTAATTAAAGAAAGTCCAAGCCAGCAACAGAGAATAATTTTTTTTAAAAAAAGAACGAGCTTTAATCATCAAGATGAAGAGAGTGTAAATGAAAGCGTGAACCCAAGACTCGAATGAATTGATAAGAAGAAAGGCTGACTGGGTTTGAGAAACGATGGCAATCCAACGACCAAACATCTCCTTGATGAGTCACATCCGAGTTAATCCGAGTCCACTCGTTGTCCTCAACGTTCTCCAAAGGCCAACGAAGGTTAGTGTGAGCCACAAGAGCGTACTTTTCGGCTTCTTCTCCAATCCCTTTTGAATCCGAGGAGGTTATCGATCGACGTGAAAGGAGCTTCCTTTGCGTCGACACGTGTGAATCCGAGTCCGGATTCGAAGGCGGAGCTCCAGAAAGCTCGAGCGGCGGCGGATTGCTGACGCGGTGCGAATAACGAACCGCAGAGCTGTGGACCGATGCGGTTAAGCTTGTTGTGAACGCCGATGCTCTGAGAGAAGATGTTACTGTACCATAGAAAGTTAAAGCAATCTTCGTCGTCTTCTTCTTCGTTGTTGTAAGTGGCGAAGTGGTAAAGCTGGTCGAGGATGATGACAGGTATAGGGATCTGTCTTGCGTAATCGGAGTTTGGGTGAAACCCGGAAGCGTTCCAGAGATCGTTGAAGTCAGGTATGATCGGAGATATGTCGTGGAGACGGCCATTAAAGGAAGCTAGTGATTGGAAGAAAGGGACTAAAGGTCCAGGGATTACACATCGATTGACGAATTCGAGGTCTTTTAAGATCTGAACGTATTGAACGGAAGTTTCGATTTTTAGTTTGGAATCTACGAAATTGCGGAGGATTGTGAAGTTCCAGAGGAGAGAGATGTAGAGGTGGGAGACGATTGGGAGCCAGGAAGGAGAAGATCGGAGAAACTGTGGAGTTGTGCTCATGAGCTGATCGCAGATTCCGAGGACGTTGAATAGCATTTGAGCGTCGGGGACGAAAGAGCAGAAACGGGGACGATGGACGGTGGTGAAGGGGTGGCTGGAACCGAGCTCGAGCATGGCGTTGGAAGCTATGTCTAAGGCGAAGTTGTGATTAGGGTTTATAGGGACTAGGCCTCGGGGTGTCCGGTCGCGGCGGGAGACAATGGGAGGCATAGGTTCGCCGGCGAAGTAACGACGTAAAGACGGCAGACGACGGTAAGAGAGCGATTAACGGTAACAGACGGTGGGGGAGAGAAGCGTTTAGGGTAAATGTAAATGTAAAAAAAAAAAAAGGAAGTATGTTAAAATTGTTGGAATATATAGGCAGATTCTGCAATCTTTATTGTTTAGATAATATTTCTGTAAATCTTTGTATCTGACTCTGATCCTAGTATCTCGTAACTGTACGGTGTACATATTTCTCGACTGAATACATAGAAAGGTTGCATTAGGTTACAAAATGTGTCACAAGAAATTAACTCGAATTGGTTAAAATATACTCCGTAGATGATAAGGGTGTTTTTTGGTATTTAGAGAGACTATCAACCTCGAGTCATCTTATCCACTAAGGGTGTGAATTAATATGAGCAATAGTGGAGAGCTTGTTGCAGGACTTGAAAAAGTGGAGAGCTGGTCAAACAAAGAGCTACTTAAATGAAGTGAAAATAAGGAGAAAAACGTGGAAGAGTATGAGTCAAAAGCAAGTTGTGGCAGAGATCATATGACTTGGAGCACAAGTCACGGAGGTTAGTTGAGCTTTCACTAGAGAAAAGAGAGACCTGAGAGAAGAAAACAAATGTGTATTCAGTTTCTACATACTTCCATTTCTATCAATCCAATCTTTTTTTACGCTAAGTTATTTGCTACTTCCAACGAAGATTTGAGACCTATTTTTTAAGAACAGTGAGTGTCTCCTTTCTTTCCTATATAAGTATATATACATCATCATTTGGCTGATTTTGGGACACACGTCTTTTGGCGACATTACATGAGAGTCAAGAGTACAACCTATCTATACCCTAATAACCTATCATTTCCGTTAAGCAAAAAAAAAAAAAAAGAATCAAAAGAATATTATTTCTATGCAAGGTGCAATTTCCTTCTCGTCTCTTCTCCCTGCGAAGAAAATCAAAAACCGGTGTGAGAAACGCAGATAAGCCAAACAGAATTTCCGATAAGAGGCATTTTTTTTTATGGCATTGATCGAAAACTCACTGTACGTTGATGGTTCTTAGCAGACCTGCCATGTTGTTTTAGGTCTGTCGAGTCTGCTCTCGAGGTTCGTCCATGTAGTCTCTTGGTAAAGTCTTGTATGTGATTATATATACTGCAAAACAGTCAAAACCATAATAAGCACACAAACAAAAATGTCAGAAGCTCGTCACATTAGTAAAGTGTATATAATGTGCGTAAGAAAATACTTTACCTAAGCCGATGTCTGTTACAGGCAGCAAAGAAGGCTACAAACCCGTTCAATATACTCCTGACAGCACGAAAAACCTGAAGCAAGACAAACACATAATGATTGAAGTTGCAAAGGATTCATATTCTTTTTACTATTGTATTTGAAACTATTTACTGACATGAGAAAAGAGGTCATTCCAAAGTGTACGCCACATGGAGACTTCATAAGTCTTCACAGCTGCTTGGGAATCTGATGCAAGTTGAAGTATGCTGCTCATATACCGCCATAAATCCCCCACAACATCGAATATGTATGAGAATGAAATGGCTAAAAAGTTGGCCAATGCAACAACCACTCTGATCGGTGCATATAACACTTCCCATATGATCCAGAACAGAGGCAGCAAAACCGTATTTGCTGCAGCATTGAAAATAAGAAAGGATCAGAATTTTTCATTATATGCTTAAAGATATGAATGAATAGTAAGAAAAGTGATGCTTGTTCTACTTACTGACGTTCCAAACTACTGAGAAGATAACCCAAATGGGCAAAAGCACCAAGTCTACCACATCTCCAACAAGATTGCAACCAGACTCGATTACTATCCAAACCACTGAAACCAAGCTCGCCACTGTTTCTGCCAACGAATTCCATAATGGTAGGAGCAAACCAAGAACCTCTAAGAGAGGATTCACCAAAGGCATTACGAGTATAGAAACAAACGACTGCATAGCACGTGCCATAGTCAGAGTCCACTTGACAGCTTTCTGAAAATTGTGAAGAAACAACATCGTTCCCAAGTACTTGATACGCGATACCATGTCCCATGTTTCAACCCAATCAAAGAGAGGCCCGCATAGCCGAGCTGCAGTGGACTTCAGAACGGGGACATTTTTGTACAGGTCATAAAATCCGATCACAACAGTGATGATTGATATTATCACATATAGGGCTCTGGCGAAAAGGCACATCCAGGGTCGATAAAGATGGCAAAACCCGGGATAAGACTGCAGAAACAAGACCCATGAAGGGAGACCAGCTTCAAGTAAAGTAAGCAAGCGTATGTCAGCCATTATAACCTCACGCAATTTAAAGGGGAGATCACGGTCACCAAACCTAACAAGAACTAGGACATCTTTATACTGTGTTGCTTCAATGACGTTCTCACCATCAGGTACATGGCTTTCCCAGTGGTCGAACGAATCTTTTCTCTTAGGTGTTTCCTCCATATAGTCAACTTCAACTCCGGTGCTGATTGCCTTAGTTACTCTTCTTCTCTTGTATGGTCCAGTCAGAGGCGGTGTGTGAGGCTCATTTTCATCATAATCTGCAGTTGAATGGTCAACGCTGAAGACACTTCTGGAGCAGCAAGGAGAGTCACTTTCAGCATACACATTGTCACTGCCGAGGTTGTTGTCATCATCATCAACGGGAGAAGTTTTTGAGAAATCCGCTTCAGCGTCATGAAAAACCTCTCCTGAAAGAGTTACAGTAATGAAAGCTTTTGAGATAGGGAACAGTGCAAAGTTGAAGCATGCAAGATGCATCACCAACAAAAACAAATTTTGCAGAGGAAAATAGTTTCAAACCTAAATCAGAGTAAAAGAAGTCCTTTATGAAACTGATGATACCTTTAGTTGTATCAAGATATTCCCTTAAGCTAGACCATTCAGCTTTTGATCCAGAGAACCACTGAGACATACTTGTTACAGCTTGATCGATACTCTCAAATTCCCACCTTCGCATCAACTTAGCTTCTATAGCAAGAGATGTGTCTGTCTACATAAAGAAATAGATCAAGTAAGAAACGATAAATACCTACACTTTCAGACCCATACAATGAAAAGTTGCAAGGAGTACCTGTAGCTCATTCAAGTAATTGATACCCCTTACATTGGCCCATTCAACTTCAAACACGATGAAACCGTACAAGGTCTTGTGCAACTGCTTGTTTAGAAACAAAGAGCTTTGCAGTTTCTTTGCAGGTAATTTCTTTTTCGAAAGCGTCGTCGCATCGATCAGTGAGAACCATTTCTTAAGCTTCTTCAATTTTTTATTGTTGGACTGGGAACACGCCTCTTTAGGCTTCGTCTCCTCCTCCTGCTTCTGCTTTTTCTTCTCCTCTCGACCTTTTGTGTTTGCAAAAGGGGAGAGTCTGGACTGCAAACAAAGATATAGGGTCACTTCATCATAGTTTTTCACCTGACCGACAACGAGAAATTTACTTGAAACGTCTTTTACAACCTTTGTAACCATTAGTTGCCAGAAATGAGCTGATCGGGTACCAGGATTCAACCATGGCCGGTTGTCCACCAATATGTAGATCTTTTTACTTTTATTGCCCAGAAAAATACTGAGATCAGAGAGATATGATTGCAAGTCACTGAAACAAAATAAAGAGAGAAAAAGCTTAACCAGATAAGCAGAGAACACCAAGCAAATAAAATGTGACAATGTAGATTAGCCTTTGAAACAAACACGCAACTATAGTCAGCAAAAAGAGCGTTGGTGAGAAAAGAAGCCAACACATTGAGATTCAAAACAATCACATACCTAACCCTATTGCATGCCACAGAAAACATAATATTATGAGACTATACAAGAGAATTGCTAGAACAAAATGCTTCAACTCTAATTAGCTTCATAAGGAGATGTTTAAGACATTCATTCGCACCAAGAACTGATACTACTTCAGATTCAGAAAAGGAAGCCCAGGCATTCGAATCGATAAGATATAATATAAATGAGAAAAAAAAAATTTGTGATTGTTTAAAATGCAGAACTTTGATATAAAATGTCAAAAACAAAAACAATCTTATTTTGTCTGGAAGAACAACGTATTTCCTTTAAAGGTCCAACAATGGCTGAGACAAGACTTGTATTATAATGAAAAAGCAATCACAGAAGAGGAAAGTATAAGTGCTTTCTGAAAAGTTCACATAATTCCATATTCATAGACATAAACTGCAGAACCATTGATCTTCAGATGTACAAACTGAATCATAAAAATAAAGAAATACAAAAAAATAAACTGAATCGTGATCAGAGAGCGAAAGAATTTTACCCGATCTGGAGACTCGTCAAGGGGAAAACACATTTTGTTTCCTCGCCATTCCCCATCTAAATCCGAAGATTGCAATCTAATTTCAAATTGACCTCAAAATCACTGAAAAAAGAAACGAACAAAGGAGTTCGAGATAATTCGTCATTATAATACTCCAAAACCCGAATTCACCAAAGAAATCAAAAAGAAACTACCCTACCGTCGAAAATCAAGAGAAAAGAGGACAAGCAATTATTCGTCATTATAAATGGTGGGTGGTGAGAAGATGACATAAATTTTCGGAGATTTGTAAAAATCGTGAATACTTAGCGGAAAAGGAGAAACTAAATTTCAGGAATTAAGGAAACTCAGACGCTAGAGCTCATATCGAATCAATACCGTCCGCCGGCGAACAACCGGAGAAATTGGAGCTCGCAGCGAGAACGGATCAGAGAAAATCTAAACCACCAATAATGTAGCAACAATCGCGAAAAAAAAAACGAAAAAAACAGAGGCGTAGAGTCTCAACAAATCATGAATTTCAAAATTTCAGAGAATTTGGGTTTACTTGGAATGGAAGAGGAGGAGGTGGACGAGAGAAGAATATCTCTCCGAGGACGTCTCAGAGAAAAGAGAAAGGTGAAATAACAATTTGGTAAATTTGATCGCCGAGGAAAACGGAGAAACGGGGTTGTGTGTTATGGCGCCACGGTCGTCGGTTTTAAT